AGCCGTTTAAAAACCTTTCATTTGTTTGGTTATGTTGACTCATGAGTGATTATCTATTTTGAAATTCCTCATTTGAATTATTAAAGAACTTACTTATCTGTATGGATTTGTCATTTAATTGTCTGAGTAGCTAACAAATATTTTATACCCATTTGTAAGATTCTCCATGTCCACTATAGCCTATATTGGCTTTGATGGATTGTAATGTAACTAACTAATATTATCAAATTACTGGATGGACTGAACTCCCATCTATCCAGACAGATCACTAATGTTAAACTGTTCAAATGTCCGCAGAAAAAAATGCATTCATATAAACCCTTATCACTTAACCCTAGAACACCAACGCTAAAAATAGTAACACTATCACTAACGCCGGGTATATTTTACCCAATATAATAATCTGGATAAAATATAGTTTTCATTAATTTATGTAAAAGTACAACACTGTGTGACAAACTGTAGTACTCTTCTTTAATTTCCCAATATACAATATCACATCAAATTTAAAAAAAGGTACCATGGGGGACCCTATAAAATGGCAGCAAAATTATTGAAAAATCAGGTAATCCTTAACGAGAAATTTCCAAACAGAAAAAATAATGGAGCTGGGAACTTGTTCTTTGCGTAGCTAGTGATTGCAGATGTAAATTAACATTAGCTACATGTTACTCACTTGTTAGCATTGCAGAGAAACTAGGCCTGTGACAGGATGACAGCTGTGGATGAAATGGGCCAGAGGATGTGGCCGGCCGGCCTGAATGTTGTTTCCCTTGAAAAGTGCAAAGAGTGCCTGATTTCAACACACAAACACTAACATTGGGTAAATTCCACCCATACAATATGTTACCCTCTATCACTAATGCCGGGTGAAAATCACCCGAACGCATGCCTCTTGAAAAAAACCATAGATGGGAGGTGGGAAACAAACATACCATTAATGACATCANGGTGTATAGATGATGGATGGATGTTCTTTCTCTACAAAATGAGGACAGGTTGAATGAGGAAAGCAAGTGGACTTGGATGAAACTGCTTCCTGTGTGAATGCAGCTGTTCTGCCGTCTGTGCATCTGTTTTTTGTCCAATAACCTGAACTGAACCTGCACCTCAATTTCTCTACTTCTGTTTTTGTGGCACAACTTGTCATACCGGCTTAAACAGTTATGGAAATTTCAACAAAGAAGTATTTTTTGAACATTTGTGATCAAGTTTTATGTATCAAAAAGTTTTCTACATGTTTGCTTTTGTGTTATTGTGAGATGCAGCTACATATGGTTCAGAAACGTCGGCCAGCCAAGAGAAAGTTCTACTAGGCCGAGACCCCACACGTCTATTGGTTAAGAGAAATTCTGACCCAGCAGCACCTCTGGAGCTCTAAACAAACAAGAAAACAACAATATTAAGCTTTAAAACTATAGTGTCACTTTTGTTGTGCTGTTACATCTAAACACTTGTTTTTTCCCCGGTTGGTCACATGTTTTCTGATCTGCACTTGCTGTACTTACATGTACCACAGAATCTGAACACATGCACCTGGAACAGCCTCGGACACATCGCGTCCAATGTATGTGCTGTGAGCTTGAAGATCTGCTTATTATTGATTATCTAAAGTATAAAATAGTTTTAAAGTGGTTCATGCACACAGTTTTTATTCATGAACGAAGCGGGAATAAAAAAATATTTACGCTAGCTACTTAGCCTCGTAGTTATAACTTGACATCCCGTGCCACTAGTCCATTGACTTCACTCCTTTCTTCTCCTTTCTATTTCTAGGCCAATATTGTTTTTACAAATAAGCAGACTTCCAGCATAGAGGCTAACTATGTCCCACAGACTATTACAACCCAAAATGTGAAAAAGCATGACGTGCGAGTGGTGTGTGAGACACTAGTAAAGGTAGAAAAACATTTTAAAGGTAAGACTTAACAATTCTTTGTGGTTCACACTGAAGTGAACACATTCTTCAGAACGTTTGTATTCACCTTCCATCTTTTTCTACTTGCCTCCACACTCTTTCTCATGTTTTCATTAGAATATTTATAAATTGACTTAAAGTAGGCATTTGGATATTCAGTGTTTTTTCTCTCTTTTCTCTGCTGCACAAGTATTAAAATATAATCAGCAGTGCTTGTTAGACACCTATTAGATCAGATGAAACTGGAACATGGTTTTCTCTGTTTCTGAGAAGCTAAGCCATCTGAAGTTATACAAGCATGACTCAGAGGCTGCAGTGTTGATTACAACCATAATGTGTTAGTCTGTGAGACTTTATTATCCCAGGGGGGTTGAGGATTCTTTTTCACAACATTGTACATCATCTTTATACACTTTTTTTTTTTTTTTTACACGACAGGCTTTATATGACACAACAGCATTTAACAACACCGTGCAGAACAACACAAAAGAAGACATGCATTTGTCTTGATGGGTCACCTTGCTTAGAGCTGCTGTTGCTGCAGATGAAAGGCTTTTGCCAGTGGGAACTCTTCTCCACCTCAGGATCCTAGACTTGAACCCAGAGGGCAACATAGTGAAGTGAAAAGTGGACTTTACGGTGAGGTTGAATCATGAGGATGAACAACAGTGTTTAATAAATCTGACTCTTTGACAGTCAGAGCTGCAAGCACAGTCAGACCAACGGAAAATGTAAATGAAGCAACGTCAGCAATGGAAGAAACGACCTATACAATGTACTTTTAGAGTTGATTCCTTGTGTAAATATTAATTTGTAATACATAGTTTCTGATGACTTTTTCTGTGCAAATGTGTTTAGGAACATACCATATACTGAAACCATAAGATCCATAAAGCCAGATTAGTGCAGGTGTCACCTCATTATACTTTAGTGAAGCTTATAGTGCCATTAAATTTGCATTTAATCACACCACCATAAACTAATTGTCACCTGCTAATTCTGAAGTATCAAATAAAAATGTCCCCTTTAGATGAATTAGGGAGGCTGTTAGGTAGAAGTTTGCAGCAGTGGTGTCCGTAACATATAGGACAAACCTCCTCAACATGATTTATTTGGGGAGGTCAGGGTTTGATTTTATTTGATTTGTAAATTTTGCTAACTTTTTTTGAGATTGTGTCATATTTTTGAAGAAGTATTGGATGAAACTGCCAGATCTTTCAAATAACAACTCGAGTGGGTTTATGTTAAAGGCTAATTCCCATTTAGAACAATTTGGGTTTGATTTTTGTAGGTTTCTCCATTGTTTCAGTTTTGAAACTGCAATATCAGAGATTGTAATGCAAGGAGCTGGTGCAGACAAGGAAACAAGTGCATGCACATCTTCATGTACAGTATTCTGAATATAGGTCTCAAAATATGTTGAGAGATTCACAGCTCCACCTACTGGAACCAGTGGGATTTGATGTTTTTTAGCCAGCCAGAAGGATTAGTTTCACCTGTTGTTGCTACATTAAAACTACACCTCAGTACAGACTTAATCAGCTCATGATGCATTCAGTTGATCTTTTTCTCACTTTCTCTTTGTGATGTTCATAACAACACTATGTGGAGTGTCTACACTTTAGGAGAAAGAGTTTGATCATGCTTAGGTTTTGTATTTCTGTCACAGGCCTCTCATTCGAGTCAGCACAGGCTTGACCGCTTGTCCTGAAAGCACCAGAACATATTTCCTGTAATTGAGTTTTGGAATATGAGCTGTTTGCATTGACCAGCTGCTTGTTAAACTCTCAGCTGTGGTTTTGTCTTACGTTGATAACCTTCAGCAGAGGACTTTGGTTCAGATGAGACATTAGAAGATATTGTCTTCAGCACTGGAAGGCAGTCACTTTAAAAGTACCATTTTCCTGGGAAAGTACCGTGTTGTCACAGCTTCAGCCAGCAAAAGAAAATAAATATCCATCCATCCATTATCTATACACCGCTTAATCCTTGCAAGGGTCACAGGGGGGCTGGAGTCTATCCCAGCTGACTTAGGGTGAAGGCAGGGGACAGACAATCAAGCACACTCACTTTCACACCTACAGACAATTTAGAATCACCAATTAACCTCAACATGTTTTGGAGAGACATGTGGAGGCTAGCCGGAGAACCCGGAGAGAACCCATTCTGCATGGGGAGAACATGCAAACTCCATGCAGAAAGATCCTCAGTGTCCTCATTGGCGAGGCAACGGTACTAACCACCAAGCCACCTCTGGGGCTACCTCTGGGTTGATCCTGCCAGTAGCTTGTCTCAAAGATGAAGTTATGCAAGTCTGAGAACAAACGGCCCGTACAGTGAAACTGCAAATGTATATTTGCAATTTGCAACCTGGAAATGCAATATGAAATTGGCAGTTTACAATTTTGCCTATGAATGTTTAAACTCCTATTGCGAGCTCATTGACAGCTAAGAGTTTAAAGCTTGAGTCCTGACTTCTAGATTTATTATAATCCTCTGGATAGACAACATGTTAATGGGTTTTTTGAAGGTTAATGGATAATTTTTCTGTAGTTTCCCCAAAATTAGTGGAGCATACCTCAATCAAAAAAACATTAGCAAATGATTTGTTAACCACTGATAATGCTTTTAGTTACAGCTCAGCAGCTTGTTATAAAGAGTGATGGCGTTCTTGTTGTTTTTCCTTTTCCAGAAGTAAATGAAAGAATGACTACAAACTAAAAAGTAGCTCTTGTAGTAGTTGCAAAACTATAATTAAACTTAACAGAAATAATAGTTGTAAATAAAAGGTTAAAAAATTACTTTAAAAACATCAAAAAATCAATTGCAATCCATTGTAAAAGTGCTGCAATTGATGCTACACTGCGGTAATGTCTTAAATTGGGAGTGATAGCACCTAATCATTTGTGTCATTTTCTGATGATTGTGGTGTTGTACATGTCAGATGTTGTGTCGATGTAATAGGCTGCATTATATTTTTAGATATATATGTCCTTAAAGTCAAACCATGTGACTTTAAAGGAATATTTGAAGCAACAGGGAATTAGTTACAATGAGGTGAAACAATGAAAATGAGACTTCACAGATTTCTATTGTTTTATTAACACTTTCAGTTGTTATATCTACATTCTGCCTCCTCTAACTGTCAGTTATTGGTCGCAATCCTCCTGATCTTCATCGTGACAGATTTGATGGTGTGCGGGACTCCCTTCTGCCTCCAGGTGTCCCACAGGATGTGTGTCCTCTGACCCTGGTTCTGCTCTGCATCCTCAGGGGAGCCGTTGAGGTTCGCCAGGCCGCACTGGTTGAACCACCATCCAGTCTGGTTCTGCTGAATGCTGCAGCTCTCCACCGTGCTGTTGCCGATGGAGCAGAAAGGATTGCAGCCGTCATTGTCCACATCCGAGGCACTAAACGGAGCCGTGTCCTGGTTTTGATCCTGGTCGTAGCCGCGGAAAGCATCGCCTGCACCAGAACGCACAGAAATACACACAACTATGCAGGTTAGTCATTGATAATCAGTGCATACATCCTGATTTTTAATTTGCACTGTGTGGAAAGGAAGTGAACGCTTTGTGAGTTTTGATTTATCAAGTCATACCTGCACTTCCTGCATATCTGCCCAAATGTATGCTGAAGAACTGTGTTTCATTGTCGAGACGGAAGTCATCATATGACGCATAAGAGGTGACGTCATCGTGGGAAACTAAAGCGATGTGAAGCTGGAACCGAGTGTCTTTCTGGTTTATTATATGAAACACCTTCTTCAGGCCCAACCAGTGTTCTCCTAAACACACACAAATTAAACAAGACATTATCATAGCCACTGGAAAGTGTAGGATATGATCCCCAAACATCTGTAGAGTTTGGTACAAGTCAACCATCTCAAAGGAACAGTGTGAGAACTTAGTTAATATACTGTTAGTCCACTAAACAGATTGGCAGTGACTTACTTTGCCAACTCTCAACAAGGAAACAAACCAGAGTGTTACCCAAACTGTCACATAATTACATAACATTAGTTCATGTCCAAAATGTATACCATCTAGTAGGCAATGGCATGCAAATGTTCTCACTCATACAGCCTTCTGATGTTGATTTTTAAGGAAAAAAATACACCTTTACTGTAATTTACAACCTGCAAGGTGTCCAAAGCCATCAGCATAGTCAGCCCAGGGTCGCTTAAAGTCAGTTAATCCATCGGTCCTCCTCTGCATCACTGTCCATCCTCCTCCCATGTAGTCCATCTCACAGAACACCTGCAGGACAAGCTTCGCTATGAGTGGTGTCCAATGAGCGAGTGACAGACTGTGAATGAATGAATGAGTGGATCATGTGTATATACCTCAAAGGAAGAGTCGGTGTTGTCTGGATGGACTATATAAATACCACTGGGGATCTTTGGGACGACCGACACAAGATTGTCCTTGATGTCGCTGCAGTCTCGCCCTAATCAGTGCAAACACACAGTTTAATGAAGTTCATGTTCAAGCAGCTGTTTTGGTTTATAGTCCCTGATGACAAAGAAAAATCTGCAACAATGCTCGCTGATACACACGCTGTTGTTGTCAGAACAGTTTTCTCTGGATTTAATTTGTCTGTGGTTCACTCAGATGAGACACAGATTGTCAAAGGATAGCATTACAAATGAGTAATGTTATGGTTTGTCTAATGAAAACTGCTTTTCCTTATTTTTAAGGATTTCAGATGTTCTGAAGGACTAAATGCATCTTACTATGTATGTTAAGATATGCCTTCTGCTTCCTAGGTTAAAGAAAAATGCCTTTAGAAACACTGGCTCATAGAACAATACCTTTTCTTATCTTGATCTCATGGAAAAGTTAACATTTTGGAGATACAAATCAGTGGCAAATTAAAGGTGTACTCCAGCAATTTCACTTTTATAGCATTTGAAGCTGCGGGACAGCAGATTTAAAAGGGACACTTTGCAGTTTTTACACGTCAGGATCAGTTTACTCATTATGCAGACTCATGCACAACCTGTGGAATCAAGACTTTGTCTAAGAAAATAACCTTGATTACGTCAGCTTGGGTTTGGACAGTAAAACTGAACAACAGGGAGCCCAACATGAAGGTGTGCAGTTTGAAAGATGTGGCAATAAACCAGGCAGTAAAGATCAACCAAGTAATGGTGATTACTTTTTTTAATTGTGGGGATCCAATTCTTTTCTTCAATCTTACTATTATCTTCATACTAGGGGCTGAAAGTTTTTACATTTTGGGCTCTGTTGCTTTGATTTTTACCATTTTTTTTATTTAAAAAATCTCTCACAATTAACACAGTTTTCTGGAAGTGAGATACTTGGAACCCCCTTTTTTTNACTTGCTTTTTTTTTAATCTTTTCTAATTATTTGAACATTTTTGTCAGTCTCTTGTAGTTATGCAGCAAACATTAAGTCATGTTCCTTATATGTGAACACCTTCTTTGCAATGAAATAGATTCTGATATACGTTTAGATTTTTATTCAGCTAATCCCTCTAACTCTGCATTAGGTTTTAAGAGTGACATGTGTGTTTTCCTGATTGCATTGTCCAGGAGAAAGTAGAAATATGCAAATAATTTAACCAGTTTTTAGAATCTTTAGGATCTCTACTAAAGTTTAAAATGAAGCTCTGTCGGTTTGTGCAATCACACTTAAGCATATTTACAAGTGGCCACCTGAACATCCAGTAATGTTTTTTAATGCTCATTTGAAGGGCTCTCCATGCTTTGCCACAGCCTCTATTGACTTTGGTGTGTTGTAATAACCAAATATCTGGATGCACTGAGCTCTGGTCCAGCCAGACATTTTTCTTGCATTCAATCTGTTGGCCAGCTGAGCTCCGGATCACTTGTGTGCATGTTTTCCACCAGAGGGCAGGACTCTGTGGCTGAGCCTGCACGGGACAAACAGGCCCCGGCTGGGGTTGGCCTCATCAGGGGCGGATGTTTTCTCAGTGCAACTTCCCAATTTCCCCTCCCCAACCCTCCCCCCTAAAAAGCAGAGCAGAGCCACCAGGCCCAGAGTCAGAAAAAGGACTCCAGTAGCAGGAGATCATTTGTCCCCCAACCCCCTAAAGTTCATCCTCTCTGGTTGTGTCTTGCCCCTTACTTTTGGCCCTTTTGGTTCTTTTTCCGTCCTGCAGGAGAAACTGGAAGCTGCACTGATCACAAAGAGCCTAATTTTTTATAATGTGTGTTGTCAGGGTTGAAAATGCTTCACTAGATGCATCTGGAGCTGCAAATACAAGCTGCTTTTCTATTGATGGTTCACATGTCTGCTCTCTGGAGTGAAATATTTGCCCTGCAACTGCGGCAGCTTTAAACCCTGCAACCCCGCCCCTCCGCACTATCACATGAATCTGGACTGAGCGCTGGATCTGAAAAAAAAAAAAAAAAAAAAGTTTGGAGGTCTCGCTGAAGTCACTTTTTCTCCAGCTAGCTTCACACATGAGCAGATGTTCTCACCTCAGGAGGCTTTTTAGTTGAACGTCTGAATCGGGAATCGAGTGGGGTTTTTTTTAATTCTCAGGCTGTGATTTTCTACGACTTTTTTTTTTTTTTTTTTCCTGCAGGAATACGGAGCGAGAGGAGGAGGGGGGCGGTCTGGCTGCTTGAAGGTATGTGGGAGGCATGTTGTGCGCCGCTCGGATTGACTTTTTAAATCGGCGATCCCCGCTTTAAATTGCACTCTTTCGACTCGTTTGCCCCCGCTGGTCGGCGATCCGTCCGCCGATCGACCCGTTTAGAGGCTCAAAGTGACGGACGACGACGCTAAAGTTCAGATGGGGTGGAGGGACGGAGGGGGGGGCTGGAGGGCGAGAAGTGTAAACAAATCCGAGCAGAACTTCAATCCAGTCTAGTCGGGGCCTGTAGTCTGTTCTCTGCTTTTTATTCAACTTTTTCCTCTTTTTTCCCCCCCTCTTTTCGACAGATTTTTTTTTCGTTGTTGTTGTTTCGACACCAAACTTTTTGGGCGACATGGACGCGCACCGCGGCGCGCCTCCGGCCGGGCAGCAGGTCGTGCACGTCCGCGGGGACTCGCAGACGGAGCTGGAGGCCCTGTTCAGCGCCGTGATGAACCCCAGCAAGGCCGTCAGACAGCCCTCCTCTGTGCCCATGAGGATGAGGAAGCTGCCCGACTCCTTCTTCAGGCAGCCGGATCCCCGAGGACACTCCAGACAAGTACTTACTGACAACAGCTGCACCACGGCTACACAATAAAGCCCACCATGCTGCCTCACACACAGGCCCTGATGGCACCACAATCATGCAAATGGACAATCCGGTCACTGTTAGGTGTCAGGGCTTAGTGGATTGCAAATCTGAAATGTTTTGTCAATTTCCATGCTTGTGGAGGACAAAATAATGTGAACAGTCAGGGAGATTGATCAGAGTAGAGCAGTAGTCCACTACGTGTTAAATCTGAAATGAACAGTTATTTTCAGTATTGATATATTAGATCAATCTTTTGGTCAAACAATAGTGAAAATTCGTTCACACAGCCACATGTGTGTATTTAACATCCAACCTTCAAAGATATTTAATGTGCTACCATGCAGGATTGCAACAAATGATTGTTTTAATTGTAGATTCATCTGTAGGTTGTTTTCTCAACTAATTAATTAGTTGTTTGGGTTTTAAAATGTTGGAAAATTGTGAAAAGTGTCAGCCAGATGTCCTCAAATAGTTTTGTCCGTAACCCAAAGGGATTCAGTTTACTGTCATAGAAGAGGGGGAAAACAGAAAATATTCAAATCTAAGAAGCTGGATTTAAAGAATTTTAGGTTTATTTTATTATTATTTTTTTTTTTAATGCTCAAATTAATTAATCAGAAGAACTGACAATCAGTATTTCATAACTTTACGAAGTGCAAATATGCCAAACGTTTTCTGCTGTGATCTTTTTCAGATTTGGTGTTTTTCATCTTTTGTCTGTTCTATCATTTTGATTGAATATCTTGATGCTTTCGGCAAGTCATCAGACAGAACATGATATTTTTTGATGGCCAATAGTGTCACTGATATGTCATAGACTAAATTGCTCATTTGAAAATACGTAAAATAACAGCAAAATCATTGGAGCACAACAGTTGCTGGAGTTCTGGGTCCGATACCATTTTTGGGGAGAAACAAATTCTGATATTGATATCTTAGCCAATGCTGTTGATCCTTGGATTTTAGAGTTGTTTTGGAAATGCAAAATGTTGGAGTCATAACTTATTAACTTTCCAGCAAAGTCTATTATAAGTTACCTGCCATGAAGACAGAGATTGACTCTGCATCATTGTGTGCTCCGCTGTGATACTTACTCTACTGCATGTGCTGCATCCAGTGTAAACAATGAAGTTGGTGCTGGACAAACTATGTGATGACACCCTATCTAGATTTTTCTGACTGGTTTATATCAGACAACATATATGCTGTCACCGCTATGTCTGTGAAAGGCCAATATCAGGGGATAATATCGTCATTGGCCAAGTTTGTACACACAAACAAGGAATTTTACTCTGGTGAATCTTAGCCATCTGTATAAGACATAAATAAACTAGAACAATACAAATAAGAGTAATATCAGTCAGGCTTTTAGAATAATAAATCTCTGTAAAAGTAGTAGCAGCCATAATCTGTCTCTCCTCACTGACTGTTTTACAAAGATAGTTGTAATTGCAGGGTATGGCTGCAACTAAAGATTATTTTCGTTGTCAGTTAATCAGTCGACCTTATTCTTGATCAGTTGGTTATTGTTTGGTCTATAACATGTCAGAAAATAGTGAAAAATGTTGTCCAAGATGACTTATTTAAATGTCTTGTTATCCCCACAACCCAAAGATAATCAATTTACTGACATAGAGGAGGAAAGAAGCCAGAACAAAATCTCATTCAAGAAGCATGAATCAAAGAATTTCTGCTTTTTTCTTCAGAAATTACTTAAACCAATGAATTATCAAACTAGTTGGGATTTAAAGTAACAGTTGGAACCATTAGTTGATTTATCGTTGTAGCTCTGCTGCAGGGCCAGAGTGTTGAACGTTTTGTTTTGATCACAGAGTGCCCACTACTTCCAGTATTTCGTTGAGACAGTGAAACATGTTGACGCAGAGGTTATTTTGTAGTTGTTGAGCTTCTACTTGTGATCGCTGCTCCTTGTTGATATTATTTCCCTGTACTGAACTTGCTGCTCATATTTCTAGGTCTTTCCTTGTGGCCACAGTAAACTTTTTTGCTGTCTGATGGACTCACAGCTCCAGCAGCCACCGTCCACTACATCTGCCAACCTTGAAAACTCAAGTGTAACAATTTCAGTTATCAGGAATTTTCATGTTGCACTTCTGTAGCTGCTTCTGCACATCGTATTCACTGCCAATACAAGTATTTATCGTGGCAAGTTGTGGACAAATCCCCAAAACAATGACAAAGAGGAGCAGTGAGGATAAGTTAACCTTTACTAGCTCTGACTGAATTTATTAAACATTAACATATTACAAAAAAGACCATGTAGGCGAATGATTTATTGTATTTAATTGTATTCCACTTTGCTTGAACACACTCTTAGCAGGTTGTATTTGTGATTTAGAATAAAATCGGTTGTTTCTATCTACAGTACAGCGAAGGTAAAGATGATACGCTGAAGATGTTGATCTTCTTGAAACGAGTAGAAGACACAAAGCATGCACGGATGCATTTCCCATCACTTAAATCTTTCATTAAATATTTATTTCATGGCCATCAAACATACTTTCATCTGTTAGAGTTGTGTTTGTGCCTCAAACAATATAATCTTGATCCGAGAACTTCATTCATCAGCCGTGATGTTCACTCAACATTTACGGAAAACGATCCTAATATGTTCTAGCGTATCACTTGTGATAATATAACTGGCCGTGGTAACCAAATCTTCACGAAAAGTCAAACACCTGGGAGTGTTTCACAGTTCTTCCTCTAAGTCTCTTCCTCTTGGCTCGCTCTGTGTTCTCCCTCCTGACCTTTTTTTTTTTTTTTTTTTTCCTGCCAGTTTGAGTATCTGATTTGCTGTTTGTGGCTTCGCTGCAAAGTTGTTAACCCTGCTTGTTTCTCGTCAGGCCAGTTCGGATGGAGGCGTGTGCGGCTCCCTCACTCCTCATCACGTCCGCGCCCATTCCTCCCCTGCCTCCCTCCCAGTCAACTCACTCTCCACTCAAGCAGCAGATGTAGCAACGACGCCCATCATACCCGACGACGTGCCACTCCCCCACGGTTGGGAAATGGCCAAAACGCCTACTGGCCAACGTTACTTCCTCAAGTAAGGTTTAGATCCAGTTTATCAATGTGTATGATCTTTGGGAGGTTGTGTCAAAACACCCAAAGAGCCAGCACCTAGAGTGGCACTTACACAGTTTAGTGCTGCAAATTGTTACGTTAGACTTATTCAAATGTTCTTATAAAACTGAGAAAATCTGCAAATCCTCACACTTCAGAAGCAGAAACCAGCAAATTATCAGCAGTTTTCTTGATAAATGACTTAAAGACAATGAAAAGGTTAATGAAATGTTAAAAATTGTTGTTGATCAATCTTCTGTCTGTCATCAGACTGACTAACGAGCACGTCATCCCAGTTCTAACCCCAAATAGAATAGAACAGATTAGAATCAAAATGCTTTTTTGATCCCCAAGGGGAAATTCCGTAGTTGCAGTAGCAATGAGTAAAGTAGCCACCACCACAATGCAAATAAGTAAGAAAAACATGCTATAGTACAAAGGGCATGACAAAGTGTAACATACTATGATTTAAAAAGTGCTAAAGTGGAAAAAAAACATAAAGGAGTTTGTTTTTTACTAAACAGAAAACAGTCAGTAATACATCATTCTTTACTATTTTGCTAGAGAAAGAACATAGTCACAGGAATACGATGAAGAGAGACGTACAGCAGTGCACATGTTACCAGGACTTAGAGTAATTAGTTGCATGCAAACAGAAAATGTTCCAACTAGTTTTGCAACCAGTGTGGTTTCACCTTCCTTCAAAGCACATGGCCTGACAGCTCACACTCCTGTCAAGGGCCGCTGTGGCGTACAGCAGCACAGGCAGTTGCGTTTGTCTGCGTGAGCGTAGATGCATGTGCACATCTGGTAGTACAGGTAAAGCAGGTCCGAGGCTCCTTATCCATCAGGTTCCAGTGGTTTAACAGATACAGATATGTTGAGACTTGTTGTGTGTTTTCAGTCACCGGGATAAGACAACCACTTGGCACGACCCCCGTCTTTCGCAGCTTCAGTCAGCTGCAGCTCAGCATCCCATCTCCGGCACTCCAGTCCATGCCCACTCCCTCAGCAACCCAGCTCCCACTACGCAACCACAAAACATCAATCCAGAAACAGGTATCACCGCTTTCTTTTCCCCCCTCCACTCTGCTCTTATCTCACAGTACAGTTTCTTTTAAAAGCACCAACCTGCTTTTCGTAGTCCATCTCCGGCGGATCAGGTCTTTGCTGGGTGTGATTTCTTCGGGATTCCCTTTTGGTCTCTACCTCCATGGCTCTGGTGACTTTGGTGGCAGTTATTACATTTGTTGATTAGGCTGAACTTTAATGGCGTCACCCTGATGACAGTGTGTGATGGAGGAGATAAAAGCACAGATGTGACTCTCAGGTTTCAGCAGAGAGAAACCAGGTGCTTTTCTCAGTTGGGTGTGAGATTCTTTGAATAAATCAAAAATACTGAAGGGTCTGTTCAAACAAATTACAATTTTTGTGATAGTTCTTTTTTGGGAGGGTCTTGATTTCATGAGAAAATTGATAGAGATCTAAATGAAATGTGTGAAGACAGTGATGGGACATGACATTAAACAAAACCTTTCCAGCCAGACTTGATTCAGGGCGTGTAATGATGCAGCCATATGGACAGTGACTAATGAAAACAGGTCTGTCTTTAAACAACAGTCACGTGCAAATATGAACACTGAAATACTTTTTCTTCTTTAGTCATTCTCCCTGGACATTAATAGAGCCAATATGTTTCTAATTTCATTGATGGGGACAAAATCCCATCTTCATTTTCTGCCACAATGTATTCAAAAGCTCCTCTGCATGCGGCCACATTGATGGATAGTCAAGCACAGGCTGTTTGTATGAGTCTTTCCTCTGAGTTTGTTACATACCTGTTGCATCAGCAGCAGCAGAATCCATATGAGCATCTCCCAAGACAGCTTTACAGTGAGTTTCAGCTCACTGTTTTTCATTTTGTGCATACACCTTTATGGTTTTGGTTCACTCTTACAGCTTTTTGCTGTTTTTTTTCAGTAAAAAGGCTTTAAAAACCCACAGAATACAACCTATTCTGCATCAAATGGCAAAGTTAGCAAATGCCTAGTGGATATAGTGCTGCATTTAGCAGCTAAAGAGCCAAATATTTCCCTCAGGAGGTGGTAGAGACCAAAACAGAGCTTAAACACTAACATTTAATAGGTAACTCCAAATGAAAGATAATGCTAACAACTCTATCAGCCAAGTTCACACACATGGAATAGGCTTACTCAAATAAAAAAAGTTTTCAGTCTTGGTCTAGGCCTAATTAATGCCTGGGAAACTGAGCCTGTATGTTATGTCATGTTATTTCTGCTTCTAGTTATAAATGTAGGTTCAAACAAAAACAAGTAACATTTTCCACTTTTAGTGGTACTACTCTCTAATGTAAATTAGTTCCCAATGAAAACCTTCCAGAAGGTGTTCTGTGGATTATCCAGAACAATGGAAACAGTGTTTCCGTAAAGACGTGTTGCTGTTAAATTTTTATATTGTAATTTGGCTAAACAGACCCTTTAGGAATAAAACCTCTTTTTACCCAGCGCCTTGGGCATTGACAGTGTTGCATTTACGACAGTGTTTTACACCAACTGCATTCAGGCAAGACGCGTATAGCATAGTACATTTTAACTCCACAGTAAATACTGTAACTCTTTACCCACTAACCTTCACTTCTATTTATATAATCTCTACAAACTAGAAGCTACACAGACATTAAAGGACGTGGGCCAGATTCTACTTTTTTCTCTCAACACTCCATGCACTCCATCTACCATTTGCCTTCTCACTGTGTACTTTCACTGCTGTTCAGGTCCACTGCCTGAAGGCTGGGAGCAGGCTGTGACTGCAGATGGAGAGGTGTACTACATCGATCACATAAATAAGACTACCACATGGGTCGACCCGCGTCTAGGTAGCACACTATCAAATTTGTGTCTCCTGAATTGACAATTCTTGTTTGTCAATGAGAAACATTTTGTTCCAATGTCCACCATCACAAGTTGCTGTTTGGCAACAAAAAAAAAAAAAAGAAAGATCGCAAAGTTTTGCAAAGTTTATTCACATATATGTAATTGCTGAAATGTTTAACATGTGGACATTTTTGCTTAAGTGCCAAAAATGTCTTTTCTTATTAATCTTATGTTCCAGCCCAGAAGATGAACCCTGGCATCCTTGGTTTGGCAATGCAGCAAAGGCAGGAAAAAGAAAGGCTCAGATGCAAACAAGGCTTGCCTCCGCAAATCGGATCACAGGTCAGCGGTCAAACAAATCGCATGTGCTGCCCCAAAAATCGAACATTTTACTTCAGATGGCATGATAAGCTGCACAAGCTGCTGCACAGCTTTTTTCCTGTGTGATTGTGTTGTGCTGCATATTCAGTTGAGAAAAGGACCATAGTTGAGTTGTTGCTTCAGGTTTGTTCACTTTGTGTTTTTACATGAAGTTATACATGCAGCTGTGTGTGTCCATGCTGTGCAGGAGGCAGGAGGACGGAGTCAGATGCCCGGTGGGATGGACCACGACAGGAGCGCACAGACACTCGTCCCTCCTCTTGATGTGAGGATCAGAGCACCGAACCACGAACCTACTCTTAATGGGTGAGTTATAAAGGAACAAGTATAGAGATATACAGTTGAAACCAGAAGTTTACAGACACTGTATAAAAAGACACATAACCTTTTCTTTTTCACTATCTGGCATTAAATGTGACTAAGCTTTTCCTGCTTTAGGTCAGTTAGGATTACCAAAATTATTTCTATTTGCTTAATGCCAGAATAATGAGAGAGAGGATTTTTAGAGAATTTTTTATTACCTTCTTCAATGTCAGAAGTTTACATACATTTCCTTAGTATTTGGTAGCGTTGCCTTTAAACTGCATGACTTGGGTCAAACGTTTTGGGTTTCCTTCCACAAGCTTCTCACAATAGTTTCCCATTCCTCCTGACAGAACTGGTATAACTGAGTTAGGTTTGTTGGCTGCCTTGCTCCACACGTCTTTTTAGCTCTGCTCACAAATTTTCTACAGGATTGAGCTCAGGGCTTTGTGATGGCCACTCCAAAACATTGACTTTGTTGTCCTGAAGCCTCTTTGTAACTAATTTGGCGGTATGTTTAGGGTCATTGTCCATTTGGAAGACCCATTTGTGCCCAAGCTTTAACTTCCTGGCTGATGTCTTGAGATGTTGCTTCAATATTTCACATAATCTTCTTTCCTCATGATACCATCTATCTTGTAAAGTCCATCAGTCCCTCCGGCAGCAAAACACCCCCACTACATGATGCTGCCACCCCCGTACTTCACAGTTGGAATGGTGTTCTCAAACTTGCATGGCTTCGCCCTTCTTCCACCAAATGTAACGACGGTCATTACGGCCAAACAGTTCAATATTAGTTTCATTAGACCACAGGACATGTCTCCAGAAATTAAGGTCTTTGTCCCTGCGTGTATTTGCAAACTGTAATCTGCTTTTTTATGTTGCTTTTGGAGAAATGTCTTCTTCCTCTCTGAGTAGCCTTTCAGCCCATATCGGTACAGGACTCGTTTCACTGTAGATAATGACTCTCTGACCAGCTTCAGCAGCATCTTCATGAGGTCTTTTGCTTTTGTTCTGGGGTTGATACGCACATTTCACACCAACACACTTCATCTCTGGGTAACAGAACCCGTCTCCTTCCTGAGTGGTATGATGGCTGGACATTCCTATGGTGCTTATACTTGTGTATAATTGTTTGAACAGATGAACCTTCAGTCATCTGGAAATTGTACCCAACAATGAAACAGACTTGTGGAGGTCCACAGTTATCTTTCTGATATCTTGGCTGATTTCTTTAGATTTCCCCATTTGGTCACAAAAGGAAGCAGTGTGTTTGAGGTGTGCCTTAAAATACATCCACAGGTGTTCCTCCAATTAACTCAAATGTTGTCAATGAACCTATCGAAAGCTTCCAAAGCCATGAATTTATCATCTGGACTTTCCCAAATAGTTCGAAGGCACAGTAATCTTAGTGTATGTAAACTTCTGACTTTGAAGAAAGTAGTGAAAAAAATTCTTTAGTTTGATTTAATGACAGACAGTGAGAAAAAAAGGTTATATGTCTTTTTATACAGTGTATGCAAGCTTCTGGTTTCAACTGTATATTATAGATGAAGTCTTACTTTAGCATCAAAAAGTTTGTCTTTTCATAAACAACGTCCAGGTTTCTGGATAATTTACCAGCAGTTTTTAAAAAAATACTAAGAACGTATTTCTTGTGAAAGCTATAAAATCACAGGAAGAATTGTGGCATGTGTTGGTCTTTTAAACAGATGCTGATCGGTTATAAAGCAACGTCTATGTGTGTTTTCTTTCACAGCGCTCATTCTCGCAATGAGAGCACCGACAGCGGTCTGAGCGTCAGCAGCCTTCCCCGTACGTCGGACCACATGCTGAGCTCTGTGGATCACATGGACACAGGTAATGTACACTAACACACCATGTCAGAAAGAGAGACTGGGATTTCTGCAGTGGAAAAAGCAGGCTTTGATTAATCCTAAACTCCCCTCCAAATACGTGCATTTTTTGTTAAAGTAATTGTGAGCACAACATCTGGTATCATCACACATAAACTGTTTCTTTTTCCTATGTAGATTAATGTGCCACTACTTAGCCAACAATAATGCCATAATGTTGACCTATTCAGCTATTATAGCTCAAGTTACTTACTGTTGAAAGCAGAACCGTGACTTTCACTAGAAAGTGGTTCTATCTCTGACTTCTACGCTGACCTTGGTGTAATGATTCACAGGAAAGTTATTTTCTTATGGCAGTAACTTTCCCAGATACAGTTCAGAGTAATTTGGGTTCATTTATGTGGAATCGACTAAGATGTGAAAGTAAAAATCTTCCCAAACATGCTAGAAATAATACAAAGGAAGGGAGCTGAAGGCAGAAACAGGCTCGGGCTGGCAGCTGTTTCTGCAGCATGTTTTCAAGTTTGTAATTGTGCACATATTTAGCTTGTTACATTTGTGTGCGAGCATCGACTCCCCTCCTCGTTTCTTTATTTTCGCCCATCGGAACATTTAAACACAGATGGGTTTTTTTGTGTTTCTACAGTTTCTGGCTCGGATAAATGTTGCAATTTTGGTCATTTCTTTTGTTGAAAGTAATATGCCTTTCAAACCTCCCAGTGGGTTAAAAGATACAGTTGCTTATTATGTGAAAACTTTACAAAATTCTCCTTTTGTGCACCGAAAGCAACATCGTTCTGCTACTCTGCCCCGTTTAGGCGAACCTGTTGAACCCCCCTCGATGACCCTGCAGGAGTCGATGCCTGTGCTCCCGATGTCCGAGGGCGAGGAGCTAATGCCCTGCATCCCCGAGGGTCTGAGTTCAGACCTCCTGATGGACATGGAGACGGTTCTGTCTGGGTCGCACATGGACAGAGACAGCCTGCTCACCTGGCTATAGACACACCCAGCCGCTGGTCAAATACGGTTTTGACGTCAGATTTTCATAACATGACTGAGAATTCTGGAGGATTTTTGCCTTCAAAAAGTGGTACAGAACAACATTACTGAGAGAATATGCTACTGTTGTGTGATGGATCCCTAACACTACTCACAGCCTGAAGAATGACTCTCACAGAAGGTGGTAAGCTGCTTGTATTTTCCTCTTTTTTTTTTCTTTTTTTTTTTTTTTGGGCCTGGTTTTAGAGATGCATGACGGAGCATCCATGTTTTTGTAACACTCCTTTCTTTTTGGTGTTGTGTGTGCCCCCATGTTGCTAGTTAAGTGCATCAGAGCTAATTGTAGAACCCACTGGGGGTTGGTTTGCAGCAAACCTTTAAAATCAGAGTCAAGAAAAGTCCAATCGTAATAGTTCTGTAAACACAAAAATAACAAACATAGCACAGAACATGAAGAAAAAGATCTCATCCACATTCTCTCTGGTTACACACACGCCCTGTGGAATAAAAGAGCAGCCAGGAACTTAGAATTTTAATGCACATGATGTGAAAAAAATATGAATCAAAGATTTTTATCTGGATTAACCCCACACCGGTTACATACCACCAAATACCCCTGCTCCAGACTGTCTCGCTATGCTGCACAGAAACTTGAGGGGGGAGAAGACGCACCCTTGTGGTGAGCTAGAGGAGAAATAAACACTAAAAGCAGTCCCATTTATCTCCTAAACTTTAGTAACAGTTAAAATATTCACAAGCCAGAATCACTTCTTCTGCAGACCTCATTCCTAACTAATCAAATCCTGCTTTCACATTTAGAAAAACAAAGGGTACAGAACAGTGCCACTATGTAGAGGAGTCTTAACTGTGGCCACTGAAGCTACAATACAGTCTGTTTTCAGGATCACTCTTTACACAAAGGAGCATTGCAACATACCGAAGATGTCTTCAATAAGCAGACACATGATCGGTGTAATGCGGTGCAATCCAACACAGTGAGATTTTCCCCGAGGAAACTGCAATCTTCTTCTGGTCTTTTAAGGAAAGTAGTTTAGAAAAGCATTTTTTTTTTAACATTAGGTCACCTCTGCAGGAAACACTGCAACATCCTCGCTGTAAAATCAATAATTTGAAGTTACTAATATCTTGGTTTTGTTTATACTGTGTCTTGTACTGCATTGCATTTTATTCCATTGGTTTTTTTGTCCACAGCAGCATTGAATATAAACTTCACAAAGGTAGTATTTATTGAAGGTTTGTTATATCGGATTGCTTCGTGTTGAATAGTTGTAATGTTATTATGTTCCACTCCTTGTTTCAGATAAATGCCATTCACTTAGCTCCCAGTAGGGCCTGAGGGTATATGTCCCTCGTCCTGTGGCATAAATGAAAACTATTGAATGAATCAACCAGCACCCCTTTAAATTTGAGATTTTTTTTTTATTATTATTATTAACTTTTTCTCTGTTTTCCCACTATTGGCTTGGTACATTCCTAATAATTTCCTTTTTTTTTTCAACATCTTCGTCTGTTCATCCAGTGGCGTCATAGTTTTTCCCACAGAAAGATGTGCAAGCAGTGGCCAACTCAGCCAAGTTTTAGCTCCTTAACAGCAAATCATGTGCACTTCTTACATCTGCTGACCAGTTTTAAATGCATGCAATGAGTCTAGATTATTAGATACACTTTTCTCCCCATTTCAGGCGTCTATTGTTTCCCATTCATCTCTGAAATCAGCTCGTGGTGTCTTGAGACTCGCTGCATCAGATATGTTTTAATCTTGCATTGTTGTGACGTGCTAATGCAACACTGCATCACCACCAGTGTTGGCGTCGCTGCTCGAAAAAAGTAATGCATTACTTTACTTATTTACTCTCTGTAGGAAGTCATTTGTTACACTACTCGTTACATTACTTTTGCGTTTCTCTGCAACATCGCTGAGATGCACTGTCACTTAATTGCAAGTTAACAAAATAATGTGAAACCTTGCATATGACCACATATCGGCACAAATCTTCATCCTGATAAGGAGGACATGCACATGTTCTGTCTCCTGTGCTCTTTAGCAAAGTATTTCCACAGTGCCTGGAATACAGAAAGGGGGACTTGAGCACATCACTTCATCCTCAGCCTGTTATTGTGCAAAGAAACAAATGTTAGTTAAAGCCAAAATGGATAAAAACAGCAGGCAAACGGGTATATTCAACCTAAACTGAGTGTACCATCGTAATTGGACAATTGATTGAAAAGGTATTTCACATCTATGGGGCGATGAATCTAAAGGTGAGAGTTGCCGTAGTCGGAAACAGGACAGGAAATGGGGGCAGGAAAATAGATCTGTCTTGAAGTTACAGAGATACAAGTACAAAAAATACAGCACGACAAATCAATTAATTTGTTTGTATCAGAGGGGGAACGTCCCTCTTAGAATTAAGCAGAGTGCCCCTCCTTTATTTTTTGTTTCGTTTTTGTACTCTGAAAATTTGCTGCAGCGGCTTTTTGCTAGAAGATGCACAGAGAACAGTATTTTTGCCAGATGTTATTAAGGTGGCGCTGCCAGTCGTCTATGCTGCCTCAAATAAAAGTAGCAGCTGTTTATTTAGCTGTAATGTGATTCCTGAATTTAGGAGCAGGCTCATGTAATGTGACGACAGTTACGCGTTACTCTGACGCTGATCTCTACACGATGACACTTGTAACACTAAAAACCCGACTTGATGTTTACTGTATGAAATAGTTTCTAACTTTGAGAACAAAGCGAGGTACAAACAGAATCCATCAAAATGAACTGAGGTGATGTCTGAGGCTGTTTGTCATGTGACTAATAAGGCAAACTAAACACAGTGTATACAAAGATTAACATCATCCTTTTAACAAAAACAGTAGAGATAATCGCTACTCTTAATTGAGCCAAAAAGTGCAATAGAAATATAAATAACCATAAATACAGCGCAGCATTACAATCATCTTTTCATAATATCATGTTGAAGGCTTTCCTTTAGTCTGGTGGATAAAAATGTTAAATGTCCATTTTTCAGTAGAAGGCAACAAATGTATTATTTAACTTCATTCAAAGCACTGTTCACTCAAATAACCCTGACAAAGTCCATCTATAATTCTTTACTGTAGATCGACTAAATCAGTCTATGATGATGAACAACAGAAGGAAATTCCAACATCCTATGATTAGAATTTTTTTTTTATAGTGTGGACATGTATGCATTAGTCGTTTGGAACAGTCAAAAAAAAACACCCGATTTTTAATAACTTCCTTAAAAACTATAGGGGTTAGTGCTAATAAGAGGTCAGATTGCTGCCACTCTGTTAAATTATAATTCCATCAGTCCATGGCTCAAGTTATGTAAGTGGGAAAGAGAAAAATATAGTGCTTTATAAATGGACTTGAGGCCTGTTAGGGGAGGTACAACATAAGTAAAGACCCCGTCGTGACTCCTCAGAAAAGCAACATACTAACTGTGGATGCTGTGTTCTTGGTATATTTTATTCTAACTGCAAATGCTATCTGGTGCTGCAATGCAGGAGGCAAACGTCACTATGGGGAGCTCTCTAACTCTCCCTGTCTAGTTAAACTATATAATGAGTGTATAATCTGTTTTTATCCGCTGGGTTGTTTCTGCAGTGTGTTTATATTTTATCTGAATTTGAAGCTGTTAATTACAGGTGAAAGCATTTTGTTCTAACCAGCTTCCTTGTTTTATATATTTATATATATATATATAAATATATACAGTATATAGAGGTAAAAACTCCATTCACAACACCCCCTAATAAGAAGCCAAGTCACCTTTTTTGTAATCTTTCCCAAATTAAAAGTACCAAACAACTTACAGAGCGACCTACCACTCATACACATAATGCAACACACTCCCTAGCCTATTATTTATCTTAGCATGCATGACACTTGCTATGTATGTTCCATATAAATGACGTTTATTATCCTATTTACAGAAGGTTTGGAGGCAATCAGACTTATTTTGTACCTTTTTATGCATGTGATTTATATCAATTTTCATTGTAATCATTTTAAAGCAGTTTCTGTTTAATAAACTTTCAAATACGTCTCAATACTGTGTTTCCTGTGTTGTGTCTGGTGTGTATTTGTCCATGTTATGGCTGTAAACCTCATCTTGATTTAGGTTTTGGTGGTGGACTGCCACAAACCACTTTATAGCTTCAATAAATTAGTCTAGTTCAGTGTGGGTTTGCCGGGTCCCTCATTCAG